CTGACTTGCAGTGTCAATCAAGATATAGTAAGGCCATTACTACCTGTATTTTTGTTTACAATGAAGAACTCATTCCCAGCTGTAGGCCACTGCCTAGGCTGCCTTGTACCTAAGCAAGTGTTAAACTGCTAGGAGAAAAGCATCCAGTAGCTTGCAGGTATTCTGGGCCTGGTTAATTCGGGCCTGCCAAATTTATGCTAACCAATATGCCAGCATAATTTCTTATTCTTATTTTATTTTGTTTTTCTTTAAGTGGTGAAGGCAGGGAACTCCGGCCAAGCCATGCCATCCTGGACCCCAGAGGGAAGGCTGGAGACTGCCTGGGGAAGATATCTGGGGACATATTCAGTTGGAGCAGCATATTTAGCACGGAATAAATGACTTCTAGGGTCTTCTACAGATTCACCCTGAACTCACAGGTAGGCAATGGAGTTGAGACAGAGTGGTTTAGAGAGGAAACCAAAGGCCATGTGAGTCAGGCCAAGGCACCTGTCCATGTGGAAGAACTGGGCTGGGTTAAACAGTGTATACTGCTACCCCCTGGCACTCACAAAAGCTGGGGCAGGGAGTATGCCTGGCTGGGCTAAGCCACAGTGCTCACCCGTGAGTGTAAGAACAGGATGTGGGCCAGATCTGGGATAGATTCTTTAGGGAACTTATAGGTTTGCCTGTGTGAGACTGAAGCACCTGCCATTTTACATGGAGAGGTGGGACAGTGATGGGCCTAGTCAGGCTGGACTACGCAACTCACATGTCAGGAATCCATCTGACACTCGTGAAGGCTGGGGCTTAGAGAAGGCCACAGCACATGCAAGGGTGAGGACTGAGGGCAGACTATGCAAGGAAGGGCTGCTGCTCCAATGATGCATGTGGAACTGGGGCTAGGAATAGGTCTGGTAGGGGAATGTGGGAACTTCCCTGCTTGTCCTCAGTTCCCTCTTGGAAGCACAGGAGTTGGGTTTGATAGTGGAACAAGAAAGGCATGGCTGCAGCACTCCTCATCATTTGTGTAGTCTGGGTCTGGGCACAGGCCAGATTGGGCCAGGACTTAGTACCTGTTGGTACACATGAGAACTAGACCAGGATGTGGGCTGTGCCTGGCTGGGCTAGGCTACAACACTTGGCATGCTCAAGACCCATGGCTGGGAACAAGCCTGGTGGGGAACTCTGGGGACTTCCATGCTGGGCTGCAGTGCCTAATGCTAAATGTGACCAGCTGGGTGAAGCTAGGTAAGGCTGTGGCACCTGTTGGCATGTATGCAGGCTGGGTCTGGAGCTGGGCCAGGCTAGGATAGGCTGCAGCACACACTGGTGAGACCCAGATGGGTGTAGGCCAGTCAGGCTAGGCTACAACACTCACCAGTGAGTGCATGCAAGTCATGTCAGGCTAGACTGCAATACCCTCTCACAGGTACAAGATCCGGAGCTGGGAACATACCGGGCAGGGGAACCACTAGGATGTCCCTATCATTGGTGTGCACAAGAGCCAGAGCTGGGAGTGGGCCAGAACAGACAAGGCAGCAGCAACTGTCAGCAAACATGAGAGCTGGGTCTGGTGAAAGATTGGGCTGAGCCAAGGCACAGCACTTGTGGGTGTGCATGACCCCAGATGACATGTGAACAGGGCCAGGCTAGGCTACACCAGAAGCTGGAACATGCAAAACCAGGTCTGGAGACAGGCCTGGTGGGGATTGTTGGAGATCACCCTAACCAGGCCTCAGCACTGGTATGGGTGAGGAGCAGGTCTGCAGCAGCCTTACTAGGCTGGGCTAAAGCTTCTGTCAGTTCTATGAGGTATAGGGGCTGGGGTGAAACTGACTAAGTGCATCCACCGATGTTTGAGTTGTCTGGTGCGGGTGACGGACTGCGCTTGACACTACACTGGCTGACACTTGACTTACGTGAGTCAAGTCTGAGATCATCACAGGTGAGGTTTCAGGTATACTCTCTGAATGGACTGTTGTACTCAGACCCTGACCACAGGGTAAATAACAGAATATGTAGTTCAACCTAGGACTGCAAGTATCAGGACAGCCTCTTCAGTTGCTGATGCCTGTGCAGGGGACAGCGTGTCCGGAAGCACAGGCAGGATATGACAGTCAGCTAGCTCATCTAGGCCAGAAAGGGATATCAATTGCTCATTAGAAGACGGAAGGCAGAACAGGCTGAACAGTTCTGCTTGGCAAGCTTTATAGCATGTTCCTGGGTCTGCGAGCACTAAGGTGGACTTTGCCAACCAATAGACCTTGAAAAGATTTTCTCAACCCTTGAGTAAAGAAACCAACAACATCTCAGAAATATCAAAGCCACTTAAATAATACTCTAGGAGCCCCCTTCTTCAGATTGGGGTCGAGGGTGTCATCAAAGTACCACCCCTCTTCCCCAGGTGCTGATGTGGTTTTACAGCACAGAGCAGCCCTCTCCCCATCCTCCCCTGCAGACAGAGTAAGAAAAAAAAAAAAAAAAAGGACTGAAACACATGTGGCTCACACTACCTTCCTCCATGCCTGGTCCTCCCCACATAGGCATTCATCCCTCTCAATTATGTAAACAACATAAACATACATGATTAACATATATTTAATTAAATTATTAACTTAAAAGGGGATTTAAGGTAAAACAACTTAGAAAAACTATCTATGTATTTGTTTTCCTGTTTTCTCTGAGTTTTGACATCTAACCAATTTGTAATAGCAGCACAGGTAACAAAATCTGATACCTTATCATCTCTGGTCAGATGAACTACGGTCAATTTGATGTGAGCTACAAGTTTGTGGGGGTACTTCACTTCCACCCACTATACCTAAATCAAATCTTCCTCCCACCCCATCTCTCTCGTTCTTGCTGCTTTCCTTCTGATCTTTTACTCAGGATGAAGTCCTGGACACAGACACTACCAAGAGAAATTCTGACAAAGGATTTCATTATAAAAGGTTGAAAAGTGAGGAGAGAATCCATATTGTCCTTTTCTCTCACCTCTTTGCTTCAGCGAGGCCTTAGCTGATAACTGTAGACGAAGCAGGCAGCTAACAACTCCAACACAATCAAAAAATATGATAGACTGTGGGAGCAATATAGGACAAGAGACAGCTGAAGAAGTGAATCTCCTAACTGCATGTTTGAAATCACGTATGTTCTGTGCTCAGCTCACACCTGAACTGAGCATGCATAGGATAGACACAAAGTGGAACACCAAAAAAATCTTAAAAGCTAAACTACCAAACTACTGTTCATGTCCCTAGATAATCCCTTTGTGTTATAGCTGTATAGCATAGACTAAAGCAGCACAGCAAACATGTAAAAAACTGGACATAAAATCAGTACTCACAGAGTGAACTTGAACTTGCTATCTAAACAAAACTGCATTGTGCTCTAACACAAAGCAATCAAACTCCCCAAGGGTTTTTAACAGGAATCAAAATCTATGCAATCTAATATTCCAAATATCTTGTATAAAATATACAATATATAATACAGATGTATATTTCTATTTCCAAAATTAGAAAAACGTGTCCAACTTTCAAGGGAAAATACAGTTAACAACTAACAATTCCCAAACAACCAATATTTACAAGTTGCCAAGATTTTATACCATATATTCTAACGAAAAAAATAACTGAGCAATTTCCCTCTTAGGTACACGCTATATGCCACGTAACCTGGCATTTATTTATCAAAATGCATGAATAACTGCACTCATACTAGTGCTGCGTCCAAGGGTAAAATCTGAGAAATAGAATGAACAGATTGCTATGGAGGGAAAAATTATCAGCATGCACAAGTAAAAATAATGGAACTATACCTACATACAAGTACATGCAATCACCCAGGACGAATTTAGTAATGTCTATCAATTTAAAAATTTGTAACTGGCACATCGGCTCAGTGGCTAAATCCTTGCCCTGCAAGTGCTGGATCTCATATGGGCACTGGTTCATGTCCTGGATGCTCTACTTTCCACCCAGCTCCCTGTTTCTAGCCAAAGAAAGCAAAAATGGCCCAAACCTTTGGGACTCTGCACCCACACGGAAAGACCTGTAAGAAGCTCCTGGATTTAGATCAACTCAGCCCTAAGCTTTGTGGCCACTTGGTAAGTGAATCAGCAGACAGATCTTTCACTTTGTATGTCCTCCTTTCTGTAAATCTGCTTTTCCAATAAAGATTAATAAATCTTTAAAAATACAAAATAATAAATTATATAGATGCCTTATTAAGAATACGTGTACATAAATCAACTTTAAAAAAAAAACACTACATAACAAACTCAAAATGTACAGGATTTTATCTTTGGAAGGAAGTAATGGGTGCTACAGGAGCAGATAGTTCGGGTTCCTGCGTGAAGGCTTAATTGCCTACTCCTCCACCTATAGGTTCCTGGATCCAGGATACCAGATGGGCGCTGGTTCGTGCTCCAGCTGCTCCACTTCTCATCCTAGGAAAGCAGTCCAGGACGGCCCAAAGCCTTGGGACCTTGTAAGCGTGTGGAAGACCCAGAGGAACGCCTGGCTCCAGTTCCTGCAGTTGTAGCCATTTGAGGAGTGAACCAGCGGATGGAAGACCTTTCTCTGTCTCTCCTTCTTTCTTTAAATTTGCCTTTTCAGGAAAAGTAAGTAAATCTTTTGTTTTTAATGTAGTTTTCTCAAACGGCTGGCTGGGTCCCGTGAGCACACAGCTTATTTGTCTCTTACAACTATTCAAGTATCAAAGCAAAAAGTTTTCCAACCGATAGCCTAGTTGCATGATGGGAAAACGAAAACCTACCCTTTTTCGTTAAAACAACTTCTCGCAAACCTTACAAAGTCAACTCATCGCCTCACGGAACGTAAACTTTGAACCCGCAGTTCCACGCCCCTGAAGGATTGGTCACTTCCGCCTCTGGCTTCCTGGCTGCACCCGCCTAAGCGGAAGTACTTTTTTTGGGTCCTCCCACCAGTAGAGGGCTCTCCGGTGTTTCTAGTGCCACGACACCTCCCGTCTGGGCTGTCTCTACGGCGCCTGTTAGTTTTGCGTTAGAAAAGATACTTGCAATATAACTTTTTTCTCAGGAAATAATCTCACCAGTATCTTAGTCCAAACAACAACGTTCAGACACAAGTCTAGCCTAGCGTCTTCACTGTCAGTGCCTGACGCAGCTGGAAGCGCGAGTCAGGCAGTGTGAGGACAGCCCCAAGGTGCCGAAAGCCCCCGTCCCGATTCCTCCGGTGAAGACGTAGCTGCGGCTGACTGAGGTGGAGGCGTTCAAGATGTCGACGAAGAATTTCCGAGTCAGTGATGGGGACTGGATTTGCCCTGATAAGAAGTGAGTTCGTGAAGGGTTTGAGATGGGTCCGAGGGCTTTCGGAAAAAGCCTTTTCAGGTCCTTTTGGCGTTAGCGCTTTTCATTATTTTTCGCGATCCGGAAGCCGGGAGAAGGAGACGAACTGCCGTGTGCCGGCGGGAGGAGGCTCCCGTCCTCCTCCTGAGGGCGTTCGGGGCGTCTTTGTTTGGGTTTGTCGCCAGCGGTCCATCGGCTTTCCGTGGGCGCTGGGGGCCTGCCCTTTTGCCCCCGCCGCGGCCAGGCTTCGGCCAGCAGATCTGAGCGGGGCTGGTGCTGGGTCTCCTGCACGTGACTTTGCGGAGTCGGTGGGAAACGGGGGCATTCTGGCGCCCGTCCCGCTGCCTCCGCGCCTGTTGGCTTGGTTCAGATTTAATGGAATTCTTCGGGTGTACTGTTTGTCGCTTTCCTCCACACGCTGCGCCTTTGCGGGGCGGGGGGTGGAAAATTCTCACCTGTTTTTCCTTCATTGGTCTTTAATTTCTCCTTGAAGGGTTGAGCCTTTCGCCGCTGCAGGACTCCACGGCGGGAGGGCTGTCTGGGCCCAGTCCCCACACGTGTTGGCGGTTCTGCTGTTTAACGTTGTTACTAAAGCCAGTGCGCTTCGTAAATTACACAAAGGCACCCAAGCTGGACATAGCAGAGCATTTTTAATGCTCAGCTCGTGTTCAAAAGAATAAAAAAAGGAACTTATCTTTTTGTCCCCAGGTCACATAAAAGAAGTCATGGTAGGTAAAAGCAAACTTTTTCGAAAAAAAACAGGCTAAGTTCTAGTGTTACTGCGTGCAAATTATGTGACTTGAACTTTGTAGGAAATGTCAGTAGAGTTACTCCCTTAGGTGCTCGTGAAATAAGATGGATGGCTTGGCAGTTGAATGAAGGGTAAAGTGCTAGTTACGGATGCTTTAGTTATGAGAGAGCCAAAGATGAATAGGATTGCTCTCAGAGCTGAGACTTACTAAAAACATGGAAGATGCAAAGCAACACATTTTTCTCTTGGGTTCTTGTTCACATGAAGAATAACGTGATTTTAGCTGCCCTTAATGACAACAGACCAGAATTGAAGGTGTGACTCTAGGTGAATGCATTTCGATTCATATACAAATATGGGAATAGAAGAGAATACAGCGTGTATAGTGTAAGTTAAGAAATTTTTAGAATATTTTCAATGTTTTTTGAGTCATAAAATTTTTCTAGAATGGAAAATAAGGAAATGATTGTATCATCACTTACTGTACATCTTTTTTCTAATAGCATCTTAAAATTACTCTTTAAAAATTGAAGAATTACGTCTTTCATATCATTTGACTTGTATTTACTGACAGTTCATAAGCATTATGAAGGTCCTGTGAGTGAAGATACATTTTTAATTTTACAGTTGTTCTCATAAGATGGGTTACTTTGGATATTGAAGTTGTTGGTTGTAGTTATGTCAATTTTTATCATCTTTGCTACTGCCTTTAGTGTGTATTTATTTTGTTGAGAAGAGAGTACTGATTCGTGACCTACCAGGTTTCCTCCAATTGGTTCTTCCCCTAATACTTTATACTTCTTACATAACACATACTGCATTTTTGTGTGTTTTATTTTCTGTACTGAGAATTATTTTGATGATTTTTTAATTCCCTGGCTTCTTGTCAGTAATTCTTGAAGAAATGGGGGCAGCTTTACAAGAGGATTCCATTGTTATGGTATGCACACGTGTGGGAAAGCCAAGCCACAGACACCAGATGATTTAATCAATATTGTTAGGCTGCTGAGTGGAAGGTGAGGATTTCTTTTGCTCTGGTTGTGACCCAGACTCTGAATTGTTTCTCTAAGTCAAAGTTTTCTTGTGATTAACATTAATAATAAGATGAATTTGAAGTTTTGGATTCCATGTATGTAACAAGGCCCTTTGAAGTGTAAAGCATTTACAGATTTTTTAAATATCAATAAATGCCTTATATAAATACCGATATAAATGCCTTATGTTTTTATTTTCAGATGTGGAAATGTGAACTTCGCTAGAAGAACCAGTTGTAATCGATGCGGTCGGGGTAAGCATTTAAGCAAGATGCTATTAATACTGTATATGTAAATCATTTATTTCCCCCGATTCATATTTTATAATATTTCTTTTTCCAGAGAAGACAACTGAAGCCAAGATGATGAAAGCTGGAGGCACGGAAATAGGAAAGACACTTGCAGAAAAGAGCCGAGGCTTGTTTAGTGCTAATGACTGGCAGTGTAAAACGTATGTGTTTTGTATTGTCCTCTTCCTCTCAGAAATGTATCAGAAATTTCTCAGTATCTGAAACTCTTAAGCATACCATAAAAATATTTTCAATGCTCATTTGCATGTCGTAGTAATAATTGTTAACGCTATGACTTGCTTGTAGCAGTTTAAAAAAAAAAAAAAGACCAAAAGAGAATATTCAAAAGCACTAAGGCCTGTTTGTTATTTTCAAAAATGCTTAACCTGATATTAAGGCGAAATTCATGTTGTTTTATTACAAACTAATTTTGGAGTTGTAAGTTACATGTCGTGAATCTGATTAGGTAATTTTTTTTGTTTTAACATTTTTCTTTTTCAAGCTTAGATTTACATTTCTCTTTAATGAACGCTTCTTTATGTTAATGATCCTAGCTTTCATTTTCAGGTTCTAAAATAAGAGAATTTTATGTTTTTCTAGTGTTACCATTTGTTTAAATTTTTCCTTTCTAAAGTTGCAGTAATGTGAATTGGGCCAGAAGATCAGAATGTAACATGTGTAATACTCCAAAATATGCTAAGCTGGAAGAAAGGACAGGTAAGACATAGCTATGTTTTATCTTAATGATTTTTAAAGGAATTAAAGTTGTTGATAAATTTTTCACTGTGTCATAACAACACTGTAATCAGAAGGTGCTAACTATTTTGGGATTTTGGTTTTCTGTGTATACAGGTTTTGTTTTGTTTTTATTTATTTTTTTTTTTATAATTTGAAAGACAAAGGGACAGAAGCAAGCAGAGCACTCCTGTCTACTGGTTCACTCCTGGAGTGCTTATAGCTGCTGGGACTGGATTAGGTTACACATTAACAGGAAGCTAAAATTGGCCACAAGAGCTAGGATATGAACAAAAGTTCTTGGATTTGTGTGTGCTTCAGTCAGTACCTTAGGGCACCATAACCGCTAAGTCAGATGCCCAGTCCAAATCGTTTGTTTCAGTTTCATAATTTATAGAGTACAATTTTAGGACTATAGCTTTTGGTTGCTTTTTTTAAATGTTCCTTCCTGTGGTTGCCTGTTAAACTCCCAGTAGCTCCTTGCTCATGCATCTGGGAAGGCACTGGAGGATGATGGCCCAAGGGCATGAGTGTATAGGTGTTGGAGACCCCAAAGAAGCTCTTGGCTCCAGGCTTTTGGCCAGTCCAGCTCCAACTGCTGCAACCTCTTGGGGAGTGCAACAAGAGATGGATGATGCCTTTGTGTCTCCCCTTCTTAGTAATGTCTTTTCAAATAAATAAAAATATACTTACCCCCCCTTGTTAGTTTTGACATTATTAATGATAGGTAATAAGTGTTTGCTATCCTAGTATAACAGAAAAGGTCAGAAGAACTTTGTCTAAAGGTTAAGCCATGATTCTTAAATGGCCTACAAAATCCCAAGTTTGAGTGTAGGGTTGAGTATATGTTGTTCCCACATTAATCTCTCCAACTCAGAATTCTTTGACCCATATACTTAGCTCCCTATTCAGCATAGCCATGTGAATGTGAAACTCGTTATATCCTGCTGAATTTGTGATATTTTCCCCCTAGGACCTGGCCTTCTTCCAGTGATCTCTTTCTCATGATTAGTACTACTCACCTTACCATACTTACGTAAGCTGGAAACCTTAAAGGTTCATCTCAGCTTAGGTAGCTCCTTTTCCATCACAACTGTAGACAATGATCAGTGTGTCTTATCATATAGAAAAATAGCTTCCTGGCTGGTCTTTTCATATTCCCCTACTGACCAGTTGTAGCCAGTTTTGTTTGTTTAAGACACTTTGGATTACCCTGGGATAAAGTCAAGTTGTTTCACGTGATCTGTTTTATTAGTGCTTCATACTTTATGGCAGGAGCTACCTGGTCTTAAACTGAGCTTAGCATAATTTTGTCAACCTTTCATTTCGATTTACTCATTCTCTTCTTTCCATCCCTTCAATGTCTTTGACCTTTCCTATTTTTGTGGCTGCAATAATTCAACAATAAAGGTTGATGGCATGAAATAAGTTATTGGATTGCCCAAACCAAGCCTGTATTTTAAATCTATGTTGTATTTTTTATTGACCCTGGCTCAGCTTTTTACATTTTACCTTGAGAAATATTTGAAAAATGTACTTATAAGACACTTAACAAAAACTACTGATTGTTGGCTACTCATTTTACCCTATACTCCTGTGCTTCAAAACATTATTAAAAAAAAAAAAAAGCCTGCCAATTCTTTACCTGGTCCAGAATTAGATACTTACAAGCTACTGGTACAGTTCATAGGGATACCTGGATGAGCTGACCAGGCATGCATAACTAAAGATTGAGAAAGTCATGTTTAGTTTAAATGAAGCAGTGAAAGATGAGTGACCCAAGTAATGAGTTGAGGACTGGTCCTTCTGAGTAAAAACAAAGAGCGTTTTGTAGAGCACCAGAGACTTGAAACCATTTGGCATATTGAAGCAAAAGAGCAAAAGAATTTTACATGTGGGGAGGGGTACTAAAAACAAATAGGAATACCTGTTTTTATGTTGTCTGTAAAGTTGAGGACAAAGGAAACATACACCACTCCTTTAACTCACCTATTTCTGATTAAATAATATACTCCAGGGTTTTTTGTTAGGTAGTTAAAATATTCCCTATGTGTAGGGACAGACTCTGCAAATTTAATTTCTTGTTAAAAGTTCATACATCATATCTTAATTAGTTTCTTACTCTGTGTCCTGTATGAGAGAACGTGAAAATAGGTTTGTATTTGTGATGATAGTCGCTTTAAAATAGTTTTACTCACATGCTGTTATAAAATTGCCTGCATTAACCACAGTTTTTTTTTCTGACTATTGTTTTTGAAAAAGTTTATGTTATTCATTTGAATGACAGAACAAGAGATTTTTCCAACACTGGTTCGCTCCCCAAATGGGCACAATAGCTGATGTAGACTGGGCCAGAGTCAGGATTTTGGAATTCTATCTGAGATTCCCATATGGATAGCAGGGTTCCAAGCATGAGCCATTTTCCACTGCCTTCCTGGATGCAATGTCAGGCTGCTGGATCAGAATTGGATCATCTGGAACTCAAGCTAGTGCGCATATGGGATGCTAGTGTTGCAGATGGCAGCTTAAACTGCTGTGCCACAATATTGACTCTTTAATGTATTCTTTAGCTAGTGTATTTTACCATATTGTTTCTCATTTGTGTAACACTAAATGTGGGTAAAGAATTCTACTTAACTACTGATTCTTGATTTTAAATGCTGTTGTTTAAATATTAATACTTCTACATTATCTCTTTATGAGCTATTTAATCCATTCTTTTTTATGAGCTGTACAGTCCAATTTAACGGGCACTTGTGACATAAGACCAATCATGCTGTTGAACTAGATTTAATTTTTATTCTTATGTAAGTGATTTAATGCCCATGATTGTCAAATTCATTTTTTTTTTTTTGTTTGTTTGTTTTGTTTCATACACATTACATTTTGGTGATTCATGAAGCCTTGATTCTGCAATTACTTTGTATTGCTCTGGAATGTCTGGTCAGATTGTGTTATGTGACCACATCCCTCTAAGTTGCAGATTTGCTAAAAATTTGTTCTTTTTCTAAAAACCACTTTCTTATTTTGCTAATTCCTCTCACATTTTTGTCAAAAGCCTGTCAAATTGTAAATGTTACGATATCACATGGTGATATATTAATCCTAATTGCTTTTCCACAGAATACTTTTAATTTGAAAGTTTACTAGCTATTTAAAGAAGCATTATTATAAGATAAGTATTATAGAACAATTGCCTTAAAACAATATCAAGAGTAAAGGCTGGCCTTCAATGTTTTTATTTTATTTGCGGATTTTCTACTCTCATAACAGGTCTACTGTGTTGTTGCTCAGCAAAATTTTAGACCATCTGCAGCTGGGCAGCAGTGAAATTTGATTCTTGGTTCTTGTTGTACCCATTCCTTACAGAGTATTACTACATTTTTGAAAACTTGCTTTAAGCAAAAATTTAAAAAGATGATTTTCACCCATGAAGTACAAATCATAGCACATTTTGAAATTGGAAAGAGCTACAAATATAACCATGTGACTTTCCAACTAAGGTGTTGCTAAGACTGTTCTCTATTTTTATTTACTTGTTGTTAAGATTAATGATTAAATTTATGGACAAACTCATTAACATGTCTGGAAGTGATGTTTTTAGATGTAATGATTTTATTTAAATGGATTGTCTTAGGATAACTGTTTTTACCCTCTTTTTAGGGTATGGTGGTGGTTTTAATGAAAGAGAAAATGTTGAATATATAGAAAGGGAAGAATCTGATGGTGAATATGATGAGGTAAGCTATATATTGGTGAACAGATTGAGTATAATCTCAAATTCACAATGCAAAGAAAAATAACACTTTTCATCTTTCAAACCGACTTACTGGGAACTAACAGCTTTACCTTTTTTTTTCTTTTTTTAACAAATTACATTAATTTGAGGCCATCATATAATACAGTGGGTTGATCTGCTTGTAGAATCTGAGAATGCTGTGGAAGTTGGCCCAAGTACTTGGGTTCCTGCCATCCAAATGGGAGACCTAGATGAAATTTCAGACTCCTTACCTCAACCTGGCCCAGACTTGGCTGTTTTAGACAGTTGCAGAATGAGACCATGGATAGAAATCTGTCTCTTCCTTTCTCTTTGACACTATACCTTCCAGATAAATAAGTAAATCTTTAACAAAAATGCTTTTTTCTTAATGTATTTTTGGCTGACAAATTTTTTTTTTTTTAAGTTTGGACGTAAGAAGAAAAAATACAGAGGAAAGTCAGTTGGACCTGCATCTATACTCAAAGAAGTTGAAGATAAGGAGTCAGAGGGAGAAGAGGAAGATGAGGATGAAGATCTTTCTAAATATAAATTAGATGAGGTTAGTGGTTTTATTATCTTGTTTCTTCTTTGTCTTATTTGTACAATGACGTGCAGACCTTTGGCAACCTTAATAAAGGTGTACAGATACATTCTCCTGTGTGTTCAGTCAGTCCCTCATTACTAATATCTTGAGCTTTTATTCTGCCAAGCTCTTTTCTTTATACAGTAGTGACCAAGACAGTACTACTCTATTACTAAATTCTAATGGAGGCAGTATATACATGTACAGGATAATTCGGACACCAATAACATTAATGGGGACATTAAATGATAACAGTGATTAGAACAGCAACCACTTTGGTTTTAGTGGATGCATAATCTAAGGAGGTAAAATTTGGACTGACACTTGAATTGGTGTGACTTAGGTAGAAATACTGAGTTCAATGAGGCTGGGAATAAGATAAGGATTCTTAATTAGGAAACAAGTAACAATGTAAAGAATTTATTCACCATTCACTGTCTTCTGTGATTGGATAATGATGGGGGCATTTAGGCCTAATGATCATGCTTAGTGGCCCTTTTAGGTTTGCTGATGTTAAGTGGAGTTAGATGGTACAGTTTTAGGATCCAGCTATATGCATCTCAATTAATGACAGGTACTTTAAGTTCAATTTGAACATTAAACAAAATAACTAGCATGTGTTTCTAGGTAGTGGCTCAAAATACTGAGATATTAGAAGACCATGATGTATTTCTAAGGTCAAGAGTTTTGTAATGTATTAGTACTGGAGAAAAAAGAATGAAGTTCTAAGGTAAAACCAAGAGTGATAGAGTAAAGAACACTTAAGGATATGGAAAACAAATTCTTGACAGCTAAACTTCAGAGTGCACGTGATTGAGGAACAAATTAGCTTCATTTTCTAGGTTTACGTCTGATCTAATTTGTTTACCTTCAATAAAAAATTTAATAGATGAAGTTTGTTAGATTTTGGTGATACAGTGATAGGAAGATGTCCAAAACACAGAATTACTCGTTTTTCTTGATAAGTAGCATGAATATCTAAATGTCTGGCTATAATTGAATTTTTATTAGGATGAGGATGAAGATGATGCTGACCTATCAAAATACAATCTTGATGCCAGTGAAGAAGAAGATAGTAGTAATAAAAAGAAATCTAATAGACGAAGTCGCTCAAAGTCCCGATCTTCACATTCACGATCTTCATCACGTTCATCCTCCCCCTCAAGTTCAAGGTCTAGGTCCAGGTAAACGGGTACAGGTCAAGGGTAACATCAGTCAAAATGTCAGTATCTAACTTCTTTACTTATAAATGTCATTTTTCTTGATGAAATAAACGTTTTTTAAAAGATCATTTTAGGAACCTTTTTAAAAATTGTTTTTATCTTGATCTCTTGTTGCACATTGTTTTCCCTTATTTTCAGAAATGTAAAATCTTAAGCTGTTTTAGTCTCATGCATTTTAAAATCAGTTAAATTGCTACATATGGGAATATTTAAGTATCTAACTAACTAGGCTGTAGTTAGAATTTTTGTAAGTAAATAATTCTCATTCAAGATGATAAAGACCAATACAGAAATTTTGTAGGCAATGATGAAATCATTGCTTATTACACTTAAGTAATTTGCTTTGAAATGGGTTGCCTGGATACAAGAGCCTTAAATATACAAGTTTGAAAACCCTGTTCATAAGTGTGTGATACTGTGGGTGATGAATTTTAATCATATTCAGGAATAGAATATTACTGAGCGCTAAACAATTAGATACCTATTAATTGAGTATTTGAAAAATTAAGGTGGTTATAAAGAGTAATTTTTTAGATGACATTATTATATAGTTATTGCTTTAAGAGACAAAGGTCAGAATTAGTTTAACCAGCTGTAATTTTATTTGTGATTTTTAAAATCTAGTGAAGCTGTATGTGCCTGTGTGCTATATTGTTATTTTCCATTTAATTCTCTATTTGAATATGCAGAAAACATAAGCACGTTACATACATTCCTATATCTAGAGTTTCTTGCTACCTAGACAAGAACAAAGAAAATGGGTTATGTAGAAGAAAGTGGTGTGTTCCAGAGAAAGTAGATAAAAATTCCAGGATCCTATTTTCCTGGGTATTTGGCCCTCTGTGATTTAGAATTGATTGTAAACCAAAATATTCAGAGGCATTGCTCAGTGTTTCCAATCTGAGGGGAGGGTATAATTTAATTTCTTCAAAGTCATTCATTAGTTATTATTTAATCTTTAAAATTCTGCATTTTAAAAATAAATTTCTGCTGCAGTAACTTTTTATGTGAGAAATGAATTCTAATGCATAACTTTTCTTTTGGTCTTCGTATCACAAAGTTCACTTAAGTGGTCCTGGAAAAAAAAAACCTTCCATGTTGTTCCAGGTCCCGTTCAAGAAGTTCTTCCAGTTCGCAGTCAAGATCTCGTTCCAGTTCCAGAGAACGTTCGAGATCTCGTGGGTCGAAATCAAGGTGAATGAGGTAGCATCTCTCTGTAAAGCAGAGAGAAAAAAGTATTTAAAGGCTGCAGAAGGCGTTGCTGCTTGCCCCTCCCTTAGTTTGCTTCTATTTGTCAGTTTGATTTTAGCATTAGAAAACTAATGTATTTCCCTTCAGCTTAATTTTCTTACAATGAAGTGTTTCCATTGCCAACAGTGTGCCCAGACATTCCCATGATTAAATTAATATTGCTGGGCTTGTTTTGGTGTGAGATTTGTTTGGGTATAGCATGTTATGGTGTAGGAAAGTAAAGCCAGCTCATTGTCACCAAATCTTTAGTATTGTTAAAACTTTGGAATGGTACTTTAAAGCAGATATTCCAGTAAGAGAATAGGTTTAACTGTTATTAAAAGGGAGAATAATCTTGCCTAAAATAGATTTTGTTTTGCAAGGTTGCAACAATTGTGGAAATAACTTCCATTTGTATCAGAGACACTAGGGAACATCATACATATATTTTTCTCTGAAATTTGGAACAGATATTATACAACATTTGTAGAACACTTAAAATTGCAAAGAAGGATGGTTGACTAGCATAGCTTGTGTTTTTGAATGAGCATTGTAAGATTTCAGAATTTATTTAGTGACCTCTGTACTGGGAATCTAACATTTATTTCCATTTTTACTATTTCGTCAAAATAATGTTGCTTTTGCTATTAGGTTAATATATTGATCTAAACTTAACACTTGTAGAAATATCAAAAGTTTAATAATGGCTCTTGGTAGAAAATTACTGGTTTGTTTGAGTCAAATCATTTGAAGGGAACCTGTTTAATTACAGTAATGAGAAAAGAGTCACTTGTACTCATTAACCAATATAAAATACAGAGCAAATGTGTTTTACGTTACTTTGTGTTAATATTACAGTCCTGTTAATTTAGTGTTTCATAGGTGAAAATCTTTGAGTTTTGGTATTCCCTTTGGAAACCAACACAGTAAAGCTTTGCAGAACAACCTTCATGTTTTTCCCAATTTTTATTGCTTATAACTTTCCAAAGAATTCTCCTTTTGGGCTTTCTGGTTTTATTTTAAGCCCAAAGGTGAATTTTTTGGGAAGTTTGGGCTAAATTCCTTCAACCAAAAATATAAAAGGTGAAAAAAATTGCATTTCAATATTTGCACATTTACCCCTGCAAAGCATGTGAATATCAACACTTTATATTTATTTCATGAATAGAGATCCTTTAGAAAAACAATCTTAATAAATATGAAACAAGCTTTAGAGTTACTAATTTTTCTTTTAATATTTAGTACCTGAATATGGTTACTATTCTTGTCCCATATTCCTGTTTTATACCAGTTTAACCTAGTAAGTTATCATTTAAATCCACAGTTGTTGGGTTTTTTTTTTTTTTTTTTGAGGAAATTATGTAGGACATAACATTTTTTCTGCCTAAGTGGAGATGCAATTTTTTAAACAAATTCTTTCAAATGTAATTACTGTCTGTTGATTTTACTATTTAGAAAGCCTTAAACAACAAAAAAGAATTCTGTTAATACAATACGCTGTGTTCAGTTACAAATGATGAAAATCCTAAAAATCCTTAAAATCCTAAAACAGCATAAAATTAAAATAATTATATTTAAAAAGAATGTTTTCATGATTGATCCAGAAGTCTTCTGTTGAGTAAGCAGTAAGTATTCCTTATAAAATTTTCATAGTTATAAATCCTGTTTATTTGTGGAGCTGATAACAGTTTTCTTCATGTCTTCCCTTAATAAAATGTTTGATTTGTTTCTCAATCAATGAAGATCCAGCTCCAGGTCCCACAGGGGCTCTTCTTCCCCACGAAAAAGATCTTATTCAAGTTCATCATCATCTCCTGAGAGGAACAGAAAGAGAAGTCGTTCTAGATCTTCTTCAACCAGTGATCGCAAAAAAAGACGAACAAGATCACGGTCACCCGAAAGGTTTGGGTTTCTGTAGAAATAAGAATGGGTGTTCTTAAGTGTGTTTGGTAAATTAAACTACCTAGTCATGGGTTAAATTTTATTGTCTCCTCTGTCCCAATTTCAAATTATACTTTTCACCTTTGAACTTCAAAAAAAAGCACTTTTGCATAATATTTGTACTTTGATCAGATCATTTAGGAAAGTTATAGACTCAAACTACTCTACTCATTTTACTGTTTGAATTTTTATTTTCACATACAAAATTATTATAGCCAACTCTCGGTTATTTCTGTATTTTTAGATTGCAGTTTGGAAGCTCTATGTTGAATTGATACCTTTTTCCCATTAAATAGTAGAAGTAGGAATTTAGGGCATCTGTTAGAATAGTCATCTTCCTTCATAATCTGAGAATCCATCCTCATTTACATACCTATAAATATTGCCATGGTGAATTGCTTCATGCCTTTTGCAAGGAAATCATACCAAAATCATTGATCTTGTACTCTTGAAATTAGACTAATTACTATTTCATTAACTTTTTCTTGGTTCTCAATGTCTTAGTTTTATGGTCATTTTAAATGGCTTCATTTGTAACTTGGAATTTTTTCATACACTTTTAGCTTCTCAAAGTAATGATTTTGTGAAGTCTGTGTAGTGTGGGTTCCAGAGTAGGGTTTTCTCATGATTCCTACTGGTACAGACCGTTGAATTTGGCTTTTTTATTTTTTTTTAAGAGTTTAGATACTAAGATTACACATAAACCTGTTTCTGTGCATTTATTTCTTTGTACAATAATTGCTGACTCTGTACTATTGCTTTCTTGCCACTTCTGCAATTTTTTATCTTAGCCACATATAATCCCCTTAGTTTGTTGTCATCTAAACTTAATGAACATGTTCTCTATTCCATAAGCCAGGTGATTGGTGAAAACACTAAACAACCCTGAGCCCAGGGCCAACCCCTGCGGAACACCACTACTTTACCCAGGTTGATATTGAATTATTCATATTAGCTGCATGAATATAACCTTATAATTGTACAATCAACTTGTGTGACCTAGATCTCCAAAACTTAATTATTTGTGAATATATTTTGGCTTATGCCTTGCACTATATGTTATACATATAGTTTATTACACTTTTCTACAGTGCATCACAGAGATTGAACCAGTCATGCTTTCATTACCAATTTTGTATACCTTTGTTTTATGTAGTCTATAATTTTGATTTTTGCAAGGCTTTTCCTTCATTATCTTAAATAATTGAGAGGTGGCTATATTTTTAAAGAAGACCAAAATTTTAAATTTAAAGATGTTTATTATATTGTTACTGGGCACAACCAAGTGTAAATCCCAGAATATTTTATGTGTGTAAGTTTATATCTTAGTTTCCAGTTATTTTACCATCTTCAAGGTGACTTAATTTTTTCATGGTTTCATAATCTGAAGAATGATGCTGAAATTTCACTTTTTTCATTATGTCTTAACAGGCACCACAGGTCATCTTCTGGATCGTCCCATTCTGGTTCCCGTTCAAGTTCAAAAAAGAAATAATGTGTTAAAATTTACATCTTAAAAAAAATCAACACAGTGCATGAAACATTTTTAAAGAAGTTGGTGTCTTACTTGGTCAGAAGTGCTAAATCTGCTAGTAGAGGTGCATGTTTTTCATTGCTTTTCAGGACAATACATGTTGTGTTTATTTGTGAAATTACAATTAAATTGCATTTTAAGCCATAATGTCCCCAAATAGATGCTCTGTTCATTTATAGCCATTTGCACCATTTAAAACCATCTCAGCTATAACAGAGTACTGTTTCTTAATTTACATTTTTGTGGGGATTTTTTTTTCCTTGTTTTTTGTTTTTGTATTTTTGTTTGTTTTATTTTGGTTTGTTTGGTTTGATTTTGAACTCTAAATGTGTCTTGTTAAGTTACCTAGGCTTAGGCTTGATAAGGAGGCAAGACTGGTAAATTAATTGAAAACTTTTGTGCTTATGTTAATCTGAGAAAAGGACTCAACTCATTACATTAAGCTATGTCAAAAAATGATTCTTACCAAAAAAAAAAAAAGTTGTGAAACAGCCAGTAATTTATATTGAAATTCCCTACGCTGAGGGTGCCTTAGAATCATTGTCTTTTATCCAGCTTTACTGTTTTGCACCATCACATTTAATGCAAAACAATCTTGTTAATTGAAAGAGAAGGTGTTACTCATTTCTCTTGCTGACACACAGTTTGGGGTAAGAAAGAACGTCTAATATTTCATCTTTTTTCTACGGATACAGTTACCTGATAACAAAAACATCTTTCAAAATGTTTGTTTAAAAGTTTGAGAAGTTTTATGTGATATCCTTTAAAAATGCAGTTATCAGATACATTAGGTTAGAAAGGCTAAATTGTACTTAATAAGCCAATTAAGGAAGCCATTTATAGTGTGTTTCTGTTTGGGTTAAAGTCCAACAGATACTGTGAATTTAAGAGCATTTGTGTTGACTTGTTTAAACAGGTTGCATTTAAAATTTTCTTCTGAATAACAAAAGAGGTGTTATTTCTGCATGGTGTAATAAAAAGTCATTATTTTTCTTATCACTTGTAATAACTTATGGCTTAAAATGCTTTCAGAGTTTCATTTCTCAAAATCTGGTCACTTGAGCTCCATTTTGTTTTCTGGTTACAAAACAAAAAGATTTCTCTTAACAGTATCTTCAGTGACAATACAAGGTAAGTATATTAAGGGAAATCAGTAATTGTGCTTGGGGCTTTTTGTTCTGGTGTGTTGCTTTTTCTCCATAACATTGTCTGCTGCAATTGAAATAAAAGTTAAAACATTTTAAGGTACTTAGTAGACAGACCAAAATTATATTTTTTTTTTCTCAAAGTGAATGTTTTCCTTCAAGTGATCTAAAAATGAAAGCAAAAATATGTAGAAATATTTTGATAATATTTTTACAATGAGCTTCTCATGTTTTTTGTTTTAATTTTCTTTGCTATGTTTACTGTAGGTTGCACAAGAACTTTTACTATCTTGTAATTGTGCCTCAGACTTTTTGAAAGTCCACCTTTAAATTTCCCAGATGACCTAGATTCCACTTGTTACCATTGGTTTATTCTTGTGCTTTCTGTATTTAACACTTCGGCTGTTCTAAGCAAGTGCAAGGTTATAAATTTAGCTAGTAGTTTACAGACAATTCAGATAATTATGGTTTCATTTGGTTTATCTAAGTTGTACTAGTTCATTTCTTATGGAAATGATGCTGTAGACAAATGTAAATAAAGTCTGTGAGCCAAGCATCAAGTGGTGTTTGTTAGAAATAAATGAGATTTTTTTAAAAGTCTGATCTAATGCTCATTTGTAAGGTAATTGCAGTTTTGTCACTTTCTACATTATTTCATTTCTGAGGTATTTGAATTCACATAATTTTTACGTATGAGTTCTCAGTTTAAAACATTGCAAAATTGTAACTACTACCTAACCTTGATACAGCTTCTTATTTCAGATCATTTCATCTACAGAGTGCTGGCTGGTCTCTGAAATGATGAAGTTTAAAACAAGCTCCAAATATAAGACCTCTAGGCTCAATTATGAAGCTATACCTTAGGTCTGTTTTGCTATCTGGTATGCACAATACCTTGTTTAAAACTTTTCCTAAGAAGTTAGGGAATTGCTACACTGCTCTCAGTTTTTTCTTAAGTTATAAATGTTTTCTATTTAGAAATAAGCCTGTGTAGCCTTCCTCACCTGGACATTGTTTTAGGAAATAATATGTAAGGTATTAATTAAAAATAATTTTAGTAGGTGTCACCTAATTTTCCCTGTGGTATTGTGAGAGTACGTTTTGTTTACCCCTGTTTCATGAACAAGCAGTTATTAACAAAACTTGTTTAAGGGAATCACTGACAGATTTCACACCCATGTTTTATCAGTGTTTTATCTGATAAAAAGTCAAATACCATCTTTGAAAAAAGAAAATATGAATTTACTAAATAAAAAAATGCTTTTTTTTTTAATTTAGTAGACAAACTAGTCAACTATTGTTGGAAAGTTTGGTAGACAAAACATTATTTTTGGAATAATCAAATTTATTTCTACCCTTTCTGTACTAATTATTTACATCTTCTCAAGATAAATTTGCTGAAACTGGGGAACCAACAGTGGTATGTTTCTATTAATTTTAGAGTTCAGATTTCATTTCATTTTTTCCATTAATTCCAGAATCCAGTATAGATTACTATCTTGCATGACTGTCATCTTCCAATATCTTCTGATGTGTGACAATTTTTTTCCTGGCTTTAATGGGTTTGACAATTCTGAAAATACTGGCCAGGCTTCCTGTAAATGGTCCTTACCCGCATTGTAAATTTGGCTAGTGTTATAGAATATTGGAAAAAACACAGGAAAAATCCTTTATTAATTTACGTCTTAAAAGGTGAACATATTTTCCCTATGGTATTACTGTAAATGTTAACCTTCATCACTTGGTTAAGAAAGGGTTTGCCACAATTAACCATGGCAGTTACTACTTTTCCTTTAACCTACTCTTCTATCAAGATTTACTAAGTATACCTCACAATAGCGAGGGTGAAAAGTAGGGAATTAATTTCTGCCTATTACAGATGGAAATCCATGCATATTTAGAAATGTTTTAACATTTTTATCCACTTGTTTTTATCTGAATGTACTTGTATGTTTCTGCTTGTTCTATACTTGCTCAAAGTTTTCACATATCTTCCATTGACAGTTCCTTCAACACAATAGCTAAGGAAAGTCATCTCTAGCAATGGTGGTGGGGTTGGAGAGCTTCAAGCTGTATTTGAGAACCTTGATGGGTACTATATGAGGAGGGATGGGAATGGATAGCCTGGGAGCCAAATTTTGTAGTCCAGTAAACAGTCTCTGAAGCTTTTGTGCAGCCATATTGATTGCATGGTTAGATTATACACAGATTTTTAAAAAATGAATATAAATTGCTCTCTAGTGTCTGTTTAGCAAAAGGTCTCTGATAAGATTTGCAATAGCCACGTAAATACTAAATGTATCTGTGAGTGAGCAGGATAAAAGATTTTGAGCAAAATTAGCCAATTTTATTCAAAGAGATACAAAATGTTTCAGGTAAGAGGAAGTATAAAATGGGAATGATCCGTCTTGCCTCAACTTGTTTATAGAGGAATAAGATGTTTTTAGGGAACCAAACATTCTGTGGCTGTGAGATACCTTTGAGAAAGGAGAGGAAGCTTTAGTTTCTTTAAGGATTAAACTAAACCACATTGAACTCAGAATTTAATCCCTACCCCAAAAGGAACCATCTGCTGCCTGTTATTACAAAGACTAAATGCCTATAATTTAACTGAAATGAGTTGTTTTAGTAATTGTGATCTGGTGGTAGAGTTGACCGATTTGATGTCTTCCCACTGAAGTTGAGGCTGCCAAGTTAAATATTTCTAATAGAATAGCTGTTATGTTTCTGGGAAGGATCTTTATACATGTCTCTTTGCAGATGAAAATCAGAGGGTCTGCCTTGTACAAATGAAATGAGATTTCAGAGATGCTCATGATAGCATCTGATAAATTAAACGTGCAGCAAATATTTGTTATTCTCAACCCCATCCTTGTGTTTTAGATACCAGATGCATATGTTAGCTTGCAGGTGCCTATTTCCTTCTTATCTGGCATATCACATCCATATATATCGCTACATCCGACACTGCACGAAGACTGATACTTGGTATTCCAATTTTATATTGATAACCAGCATTATCAGTATAAAATCTCTGGGATTTCCCTTTGCCTCTTCACTCCAAAAACTACCTGATTTAGCTGGAACTGAGACTTTATTTTAGCCCTCAGCCCTATACCTTTTGAGCTAATGATTCTACTCGTGTTGTCATTTCTTTAAAACCTTGCAGTACCTTGCTTTGATTTTTTTAGTTTAAGTTTATGGGTTTTTTCCCCTAGTGCTCATACTCCCCAATTTGGTGTAAACACATGGAGCATATTTACTAGAAATGTGAGGCATGCTGAGCAAATAACATTTTCACTCTTGCACAGATCACTCTCCCAAGATACCATTCCATACACACACAACCAGCCTTTCTACTTTCAGCCTGTGTGATTCAATTGAGAACACTAAAATGACCCTTGTTTTCTCTAGTTTGAGTGCAGTGAGGTTTCTGAATTTTCCTACTGTAGCTCTTGAAGTTACTATCTGTTAACATCTCAAAGAAAAAAGATCATTTTTTCCATCAATACTAGTACAGAATAAATGTTTATTTTTTCGGCTAAAAGATTGTCGTTTCTTAAAGAAGTTTTATACTAAAGTTAATTAGATCACTGTGGGAACTAGTGGTTGGTTTGTGTCAGGGCCACTTCAATTAAAGTGCAATAGGCCATTTATGAACTGAAAAAGTTCAGCTGTGTTTCAGTGGAAGATAGACTCAACCTTAGCTGTAAATAATTGTGTTGTGCTTTTGCTATGAAGTATGCAACCTTAGATCATAGATTAGTAAGTTTGAGAAATAGATAAGCTCACTGGCATACATTTTGATGTATTAAATAATACTTGTGACCCCTTGGCTGTATTTTTAATATGCCATGTGATCTGCAAAATTAGCCTCAGGAACTTCTCAATGAATGGGTAAGCGCCCTTTGAAATGTATATTACAGTGAGTGCGATGGTAGCGCTTTTGCAAAATGAGTAAGACAGTTACCTTGTTTTGAAGTAGGAACAGAGCTCAAAATAAAGATGTTGTACATTTACACCTTAGGTGTTATTTTTAAAAAAAGCATGTCTACTTAGTAAAGAAGACAGTCAAAAGGGCCTTGTGTGGTAGCCTAGTGACTGAAGTCCTCATCTTGCATGCACTGCAATCCCATGTGGGTGCTGGTTCATATCCCAGCTGATCCACTTCCCATCCAGCTCCTGCTTGTGGACTGGAAGAGCAGTAGAGAATGACACCCACATGGGAGACCCAGAGGAGGTGCCAATCTCCTGGTCGGTTTCAGATGAGCTCAGCTTTAGCCAAAGCAGTCATTTGGGGAGTGAACCAGAGGATGGAAGGTCTTTTTCTTTGTAAATCTGACTTTCCAAGAAAAATGAATCTTAAGAAAGTCAAAATGGAGGTGACTGGGCAAGTTGTTATGAGTGGATCAAGTTGTATTCATCCTCATCTGTGGATATAGGCCTTTATAATCAAGCTGTTGACATAGAGCATGCCAGTTAAAAATGTTTGCTTTTAACTGGGAGGTGGGAACACAGATTGCCAGTCTTATTTGAGAATTTGAAAACTTATATTTGAGATACTAACAGCTGTTTCATTTTTGAAATTCTGAGGAATACTGGGCAATCAGATTGTAAGCCTTACAGAATAAAAGTGGAAGCAGAGGATTGGGATTAAAGTTATGCTTCCTCCCCAAACTAGGCAAACTGTGTAGATACATTATTAGGTGATAATTTTTCAGTTACCCTGGTGGAGCTCTGCATTCTGCTTCACCTGAGGGTAAGACAGGAAATCAGATCATCAAAGTTCACAGGGGGAGTCCGGGGCTGTCGGTGGTTTTCAGTGTAGGTCTGCAGAGGGTCCTCTTGACAATAGGATTGTCTTGACATAAGCTGCCATGAAGTAAGATAACAAGTCTCCAATAATTTGGCCCATGAAGCTTTTTGTCATTCATAAGTTGAACCTGCTCAGAATCTTAAGCAGAACAGCAATGGCGATAATAGATGTATAAGAAGCAATATTTTTAAGTACAGTAAAGTCTAAGTGAAAATGTTAAGCATATAGATGGAATAGGAACTTCAGCTATCTAAATTATCGAGCAGACTTAAAACATTTTTGAACACAGCAGTCTCCTGACTTCAACCTGGCACAACTCGGCCAGTTGCAAGGATTTGAAGGGTGAAATGGACACTGGAAGGTCTCTTATTTATCTTTGCAAATAAAATGAATTTGAAAAGGGAGAAAGACTCCAGCTGGCACAATGGCAAGGCATGCCCCCTGCCATGCAGGGCATCCATATGCTGCTGCTGCTGCTGCAGTTCCAGGCTGGCTCCCCACTAATGTTCTGAGAAAGACAAGGCAAGGCCAAAGCTCTGGACTCCTGCACCCACGCTGTTAGAGAAAGAGCTCCTTGCTGCTTATTTTAGATTAGCCCAGCTCTGGCTGTTGGGACCATTTAGGGGATGAATTGGTGGGTAAAAGACCTCTAGCTTTTTAAAAAGCTGAGCTAAAAATTGCTAAACATAACCAAGCATTAGTTGAAATATAAATACCTGAAAGATGACAGAAAAAGTGGACAGCACAATGATGGAATACAAGAAGCTTGTGGAAAATGAAATAAAAAGGCAGTTGTCGTTAGCTTCCATTCCGTCAAGTTTTCAGACTTAAGGTAATGCTAATCACACATATAGTATAGTCATGCCAAGAACTACCAAGGTTCATAGGAATTCAGCCATTGCATTGTATATGTATTACATTACTTTACCTAGAACATAAAGAATGAAATTCAGAAATGTTTTTAGGAGTAGGAAACTTACATAAAAACAAAAGACTAACAAATTAGAACTCGGAAAATTACCCTGGTTTGATGAGCAATGACTAGCATGGCACTGCAGTGATGGCCAGGTCTGGTTGAACGTAGAGAATCTCCTTAATATCATTGTGTAGCACTTAAGAAAGTGAATACTCGAAATACGTTCAGCATCTCCAGAAAGTGTTACCGTGACCTTTGTCATGAGTAGTCCACGCTTGCTCTGCCTGGGTCACTTCCACTTCTGAGTATGCTGCATAGCACCATACCTGCTTATGTCAAGTTTCATTTCCTTCTGTTAGAATTTCTCAGCATCATGACCTTGACTCAGATTTCCATGACAGGATGTGCTCTTGCCTGTAACTGAAGGAGTGTAATGTTTTGACATCCATCAAGCAGAACATTGGCTCCACTTTACATCTTCAGTTGGAATTCTGTAAGCCCAGCTACCCGAGATGGCTGTGGTGTTGACTTGTTCCTGCTTTTCATCGCCAGCCTTTAGTTAAAGTGTGAACGGTTGATTTTTTTTCTTTGCAAATTGATGTGGATACTCCACTGTTGCCAACATCATCTTCAACTTTTTCTTGTCCCTTTGTAAATTGACTTTTCTATTTAAGAACGGC